CCGAGTATTTGTTGTAGCCAGGCCACGACTCGTACAAGTATCTAGAAGTGTACGTTTGTGGTGCTGTCCTGTTTGGAACGGTTTCAAGTACTTAAGGCAGGTGCATCACCACTGCAAACGCGGCGTCGATTCCGCCGCTGGCGACATTGCAGCGCTTATCGGGGAGGCCAAGGTCATGTCGGAATAGCTCGCCACGCAGTATCACGATCTGCCTGAACTCAGCTGTGGACAGTAGCTCCTGGAAATCGTGGATGGATTGGCTTACAACAGGTAAGTCAGGCGCCTTGTATCACGCTAGCACCTTGCCAACACTCTGATCCTCTTTCGTCATTGTACCTATGTATGCGAACGCTTGGTCAATGACTCCATCGAGCCACGACACAGAGAGTGGCTCGTCATGCTTGGAGCTATGGACTGGTGTGTGGTAGGCGGTATTTCCTTCAACGTATCTCTAATATCCTCTGTTATATAGTCCGCCACATTACACCTCTTTCTCTCCTTTTTTGGGGGCAGCCCTGTTGCCTGCTCTGGTGTTTGTTCCCAGTACACAACTGCTTCCTCCTGAAAGTAATTTGGTCTTCAGGTAGATCAGCTACAGCGTATCGCGGCACCCAACGGGAACAGGTATTCTGACGGCTCATCGTACCACACGAAGAGAAGACCAAATGCATGGAGAATACACTGCTGCCAACGCTTGGGGGAGTTGCAAATGGAAACGCGTTGCACAACGGAGGTCTTAATGTGGAGAAATAGCTCACCAGATGCTGCTATTGAGAGGTGCTGCTTGCGAGCAAAGCAGGTGTCAATGGCCCTACCAAAGGTGCGCCACATCATATTGAGGAGTGCAGGATCGTGTACTGACTTGATCCCTTTAGATACCTCTGCTTGAACGATTAAATGCTCCACTAATACACTCAGATCATTGAAGATACATCCTGGGGCATCGTTTGTTTGGAATATGGCTTTTAAGTTGCGCTCCTCAATGTTGCTCGCTGTTTTGCTTCGAATCTTAGCAACACGGTGAGTATCGGACAGTGAGCTCGGATAGCGTTCTCAAAGCATGTCGAGAGTTTAAGAAAAGTATCCTAACGCCGCTGACTTAGCGATCAGACCATCGCCTGAACGGTTTGCAAGAAATTAGAAAACGCTATTAGTGAGTAAAAATTCTGAGTAGGCAAACTAGACTCCTTAGAGATTGAGCTATGCATTGCATCTAGCTCAGTAGATGACAATCCTCCTGATTGTAGAAATTCCGCAAAATATTTATCAGCTGTTAGCCCCTGTCCTACGACCCCATGCAGGGTGTCAAGTCCACGTGCGACGTGATGCATGCTGGTGAGTTCTGTTCTCGATTAATTTGGCTAGGAGGTTGTCTACCTGAGTCCACACAGCACACACTATTTCTAGCTCTTCAACGTTTTCGATGGTCAATCTTTATTTATCGAGTAATGACAGAATTAACTTGATTTCGCTACGGCATGTCACGCTGAAAGTTTTGAAGGTTATCAGTTCCCGACGGTATGTGCCGGTTTCTGAACCTGTCTAACATGATCCCGCGATGATTACGGTACGTTGATTACGCCACCGATGATTAGTTGAATAGGATGATTGGACAACTAGAGAGTGTTAATGATGGGATGACCCCAACAACTGGATGCAGACTAGGTAGTGAGAGCAGTGCAAGCCCCGATAAATCAATCACTTCAGAATCCTCCCTCTCCCTCTCAAGTGGTCTTCGCTCAGGTCTTCTTCTTCGAGTGGTGACTCTTCCCTTCGCTTCCTACAAGCCCTACGTCTTCCAAGTTCCGTGACCTCTATCAGAAAGAAAGTGGATTTTGGGTCAGTCCAGATATAAGTTGGAACAACAAGACCCTACCCTAAAAGATGTGATTCGCTAAAATAGCTCATTATGCAGTGATAATTGGCTACTCCTGTATGTGAATTATAGAGGAGTATGCCGACGACATGGCCATCCGTGCTAAAAGGACTTATCCTACATTGATATGCAATGTAAGGTCAGCGGAATAAGGCACCCAACCAGCACAGTATACTTTTACCTCTCAGGGAAACAGATCTTTCTGTTTCTGAAGATGTTACGAAGCGCGGTTCTGCTACTGTGGTGTTCGGCGTTGCGCCAGTGTTCTCTCCCAGTAATTTTGTTTTTTTACGTCAGGATCTATTTGCAGAACGATGGTACGACCATAACGGTTCTATTTTCTTGAACACGACAGTGATTCAGGAACGTGGAGCTAAATTCCCCTGGTTTCAAATCTCAGGTTTGTCTGGAAGGGGCCAATGCCTGAACAAAAATACCTGGACTCTACGCTGCCCAGTATTTTTTTTACTAAGGTCAACGACCACTTTTGTGCATTGCAACGACACAATTTCTACCAATCACCATGTACAAATTGTCTATAAAGAGAACTTTAGTGCCTGGAAAAACTCGAGGTTTTGGACCAACAAAAAGTCAGAAAAAGGGGTAAATCCACTAAGTGTTGATAGCCAGTTTAGAGCATTATCGAGTGTGACGTAAAAACGATTATAATAGTGGGTCAATCAATAGGTTTTCTTAACGAAATATTCTAAGCTGATTAGCTGAACTTTGTGTATACATGGACGTATACATTGTATCCACAATTTTGATCCCAGGATTTTCTGTTCCCAAATCCTAGTCGCAGGCTCCTCATTGATTAACCTACCTTCAAGATCACAAAGCTAGTAAAATGTACGCCGCTGTGCCACCTCATGGGGGTGTTAAGCCTCCAACGTCGTCCGTGGAGCTGTCGCTGAGCGCCAAGGATCTTAAGGACCGTGATATCATCTCGAAATCCGATCCTTTCGCCGTGCTCTTTGTGAAAAGTAGGTTCATAACACACCATACTACCATTCTCATCCTGATCACGTTCCCTTTGTTCAGGCGGATCTGGTTGGACCAAACTGGGCAAGACGGAGGCCAAGAAAGACGACCTGAACCCCTCATGGACCAAGCTCTTCCTAGTCGAGTATCACTTCGAGTCCGTTCAGCATCTCAAGGTGGAGGTTTACGACCAGGACAGCTCGTCCCCCGATAAGCTCAAGGATCAGGACTTTATCGGTGGAGCAGAATTTACTTTGGGTCAATTGATGGGAGCGCCAGGCCAGAGTGGGTCTTTCCTGCTCACTCGAGGCAAAAGCACGTCCAAGCACCAGGGCTCCTTGCTGGTTAAGGCTGAGGAAGCTAAAGCTTCCAGTGAGGCGGTACGATTCCGCTTCTCGGCCGCATCCCTGGCCAATATGGACGGTATGTTCAGCAAGAGTGACCCGTTCCTGGTCCTCAGTCGGTTGAGAGAGGATGGTCAATCCTGGACGCAAGTTCACAGAACGGAGACTATCGACAACAATTTGAATCCGAACTGGAGAGTCTTTGAGCTGCCCATGCAGCAACTGTGCAATGGCGACCCCAAGCGGCCCCTAAGCCTTCAAGTTTTTGATGAAGATCGAGGTGGAAAATCGGATCTGATTGGTCACGTGCAAACTACGTTCGAGGAGATTCAGGGGAAGCGAGGTACCAACTTTGTTCTGCACAATGAGGCACTTCAGAAGAAGAAGGGGAAAAAATACACAAACGCTGGGCTGCTTGTGGTTACGGAGGTGGAGATCTTCCGTGACCACACCTTCATCGACTATCGTGAGTATATTACTGTTGCTGCAAGGGGCTAGATCATTTCTTATAAGTGATTGTGTTCTAACGACTGTGTTCGTTTATTTCTTCTTGACAGTTCGTGGTGGTCTGGAGATGAACTTGATCATTGGTATCGACTATACGGCATCCAACGGTCCGCCTACCGACCCGCGCAGGTACAATTCTGTTTTTATTAAAGTGTTCTAGTTTGGAGGGTAATCTGATCCTAATTCTGTGTCTGACATGGTGTTTATCTGCGCGAAGCCTTCACTTTATCGATCCACGAGGGCCAAATCAGTACCAACACGCAATTTCAGCAACGGTTTCGATCCTGCAAGAGTACGACGCGGACAAACAGTTTCCCGTTTATGGATTCGGTGGCATCCCACCGGGAGCGCATGACGTAGATCACTGCTTTCCCCTCAATCTGAATCCGTTGAATCCCGAAGTTGCGGGTTTTCAAGGAGTGCTCCAGGTACGGTACTCTTTGTTAAATCCGTGTAGTTTATCGTGTTCAGCGAACTAAATCGTTCCGGTGCATGAATATATCCAGCTCTACACGGCTTCTCTAGGCCATATTCGCCTCCATGGACCAACCTTCTTCGCTCCGTAAGACAACGTTTGCTCGAGGAATGCATTTTGTGGCACATGTTTACAGTATGGTTCATATTTGTGCTAAATTGGCAGACTAATTCACCAGTCGATGCGGATCGCGAATCAGCTTAGCGATCCCCGCAAGCAGAAGTACTTTGTTCTGCTCATTATCACTGGTACGATAGTGCAGTTTTCTATTCGCTCGTTGTCGAAAATACTTACTATCGTTTGCTTTATGTGAACCAAGACGGCGCAATCATGGACATGCAGGGAACCATTGACGCGCTGGTGGAGGCGTCCCACAATTCTCCACTTTCAGTAAGTTCCAACTAAGAGCGATGTTTTAAGATGACTGCTAACTGCAACATTTTTCTCTTGCAGATTGTGATCATTGGTGTGGGTCCCGCTGACTTCTCATCCATGGTCGCCCTGGATGGAGATGGAGGTAAGCTACGGGCCAGTAACGGGAGGGTATCTGCACGTGATATGTAAGTACTTTATGAACGGTCAATATGAAGTTTGGCGCACGCACAAACATTAACGTTTCGCTTGAATTTTGCGCCGTAGCGTCCAATTTGTCCCGTACAACCGCTTCGTGGGATACCCAGATGCTCTGACAAGGGAAACACTTGCAGAGATCCCCCGTCAGCTGTGCCAGTACATGAAAGTGCGTCGCGTGGCGCCTAACCCAGCGCTGCCACCAACGTATCACCTATTCTCCGAACCAACGGGATCGCAGCCAGGTGCGCCACCATCTACTTCCCAGCCTCCGGCTGCTGTGGATAATCCACCTCAAAACCTTGGGCAACCGCAGCAAGCTTCTCAGGGCCAATTGCCACCGCAAGGCTACGCCCAAGGACCTCCCCAAGGATATCAGCAAGGAGGGTATCAGCAGCCCGGCCACCCTGGCCAAGCTCCACCCCATGGGTATCAGCCAGGACAGTCTGGGCAACCCGGCCAAGCCCCACCCCAAGGACACCAACACGGCTATCAACCACAACCAGGTTACCCCGGTCAAGCTCCTCCCCATGGGTATCAGCAAGGACATCAGCCGCAACCAGGCTACCCGGCGCAGGGTCAACACCAAGGCTATCAGCAAGGCTATCAAGCTCAGCCCGGCTACTCCGGCCAGGGCCCACCACAAGGTTATCCACAAGGCGGCTACCCACCGCAGACGGGATACCCTCCACAAGGTCCACCCCGCGGAGCGGCTCCCGGTTACCCTGGCTACCGTGGCTGATCGGAGAGCGACAATTTGTACAAGAAGCCCCACTCATGGTCCACCTTATTTTTCAAGTTCAACATGCTTGTGCTATCGACGTCTTAGTGTTGCTTAAAGGAATTGTTTTAACAATTGTCTCTTGTATCGCCATGCCTCAGATTTTGACGAAGACAATTGGTCGTGCAGTTTCTTGATTTCTTGTTGCAGGGACTGCATATTCTCTTCGTCCATTCCTGCATTACTGGTAGTATCCGTTGAAGCGCCTCCGGATGGTTTAAGTGTTCGTTGCCGCCACCGATGAAAATATGAAGCAGTTCGCTTCACCTGTTATCGATTTAGTACAAGTGGCGTTAGACATAAGTCATCTCTACAATACAACAGATACATACATACCGTCGTCTGACGAATAACTTGGCTAATTCTCTCCACTGCGATCATGCGGTTCCAGCACGAAAGCGCTTGAGCTTGGAAATTCTGTGCTTGTAGCTGTCGGACTTGATCTCTCCACTTGTTAAAGCTTTTTAACTTTTTGCGTGACTCAAAGTGCAAAACAATGCGGTACATGTGTAGCACAGCATTCAGTCGCAGAATCTTCGTGTTCGAAGCTTGAATTCTCCAACGACAAAAGAGCTCCTTAGCTGCTTGGTTGAGCATTGCATGACGGATGAGAAGCGCCTTCTTAAGAGCTTCAAATCGACGTGTGCGAACTTGTTCCAGCTGTAAGCGTACGAGCACTTCGTCTAGTGTTCCAATGGAGAAATCGCTCTCGACAAGTCCGTGTGAACTAAGTTTTCCCGTCTTAAACTCGGTTTGGGCTTGGAGAAAAGCAACCCGTTGGTCGATCTGTGAGCGTTGCAGTGCGTACTTCATCTCCAGTCTGATACTGTAGCGATCTTCGTCCATCGCACTCTCTTTTTCTTTGGCACGTACAGCTTCACCATGTCGCCACTCATTTATTCGCCTTTCACACTCCATTCTCATGTGTTCAACCACGTTCGAATAGTCAAGTTGAGCTTCATGTAGTGCAAGTGACACCGCCATTTTCTGTCGTTCAGCTGCTTGTTCCTCGGTTAGTTCAAGCTTCTGACGAAGCAGTTCAATGTCTCGCTTATATTTCTCGATTCGCTCATCGAGGTCTAGTGATCCATTTAAAATCACGCTGGATGTCGAATTTCGTGGAGTTGAGATGGCCTTGGGTACCGGTGGAAGTAGGCTTTGGCTCGTGGCGTCAGCTCGTGTTGCCTGTAGAGAGCTGAGCTTGAAAATGGCGCTTTGACGAGCACGTTCTGCGTCTTCGTATCGATTCTGTGCTTCCTCGAGCAACGCCACGAATGAGGCCATCCTCTCGCGCTCACTAGCTTGCACTGCTAGCACCACGTCTTTTTCTTGTCGGAAGGCATCGCCGGTATTAATCGCATCTTTGAGAGAGGCCTCTAACATCTCGATACGGCGTTCAGCTGTTTGGAATTTGAGCTGTTGACTGGCATTCTGATCTTTCAGTTGCTGTATCTCGTTTTCAAGTTCATGCGTCTCCTTCTCGAGTGTTTGAATGTATCGACACAACTCTGAGTTCCCATCTTCATCATTTGATTCGCCGTCATCTTCGTAAATGAAATTGTCCGCGTCATCTTCAAGAATCGGAAGGCTTGGCTGTCGAATTCTCGACGCCTTTGTCTCTGTATCGTTCATTTCCAGCTTACCCGGCGCAGGAGGAGGTAAACCTGACGAGTCCATGGTGACAGCTTTCACCTTTCTTGGAGCTTCCAGGCGAGTTGGCCCGTTTCAAAACTCCCTTACTACCCAAAAACGAGGAAGCAAGTTGCCTAGATGACGTTTTTATAGCTGCTTCAAATAGCTCTGCGCTTAAGTGACCAACGGAACGAGGACAGACATGTCCAAAGCCCCGTTACTCAGAAACGAGGACCGTGTGACTATGAATGCTGGTGGGACTTCACTTCTGGAAAGTGACGATAAAGAGCTAGTCTTCGCAGTAACTCAGAGGATCTGCATTCTCTATGGGCTGCATTAACTCAGTACCAAACCAAGTGGGACAGACGTTTGATCCAGTCATCGTGAGCGAAGATGCCGTCGGTAGGGTCAAGTAACCAGATATCTAGTTTTCGTGCAACGTGCTAACACAACGCTGTGTTGTGATCGTAGAACGGAAGATGAGCGTTCTCCTGCGTGAAAAGCGCAACGCGGCATCACGCCGTGGTGACATTTTCGGCGAGAGCGTGCAGTTCGACACGCCACTAGAACTCAAGAGTGTGGCGAAATCGTCCGAATCCACCAACATCATTCGGCAGGCTTTACTCAACAACTTCCTCTTCTACACAATCGGTCACAGCGACATCGACTCCATCGTGGATTTCATGACAGAGAAATCTACCGTAGCTGGCGACGTAGTCATCAGCGAAGGCAACCACGGCGACTTCTTTTATGTCGTCGAGACCGGCTTGTTCTCTGTCTCAGTGCGCGGAAACGTTGTCAACAGTGTACAACGAGGTGCCACCTTCGGAGAGCTGGCGTTGGTGTACAATTGTCCACGCACTGCCAGTGTGACCTGCTCACAACCAGGTCGTCTTTGGGCACTCGACCGCGTCACGTTCCGCCGACTAGTAGCTCGCATCCAGTCGGAGCAGATCGGCGAGTGCAAGAGCGCTCTTCGTAACGTCTCAATACTCCACGCGTTGACCGATACCCAGCTGAATCAACTCGCTGAAGCAGCTCAATTCGTCAAGTTCACAAAAGGAGATCGCATCATCAAGAAAGGTGAACGGGGTAATGTCTTGTATATCATCAAGAGCGGTGCAGTCATCTGTACTGACGTGGGGGACAGTCACCGCATGGAGTCGGTGCGTCTGACCGAGAACGATTACTTCGGAGAGCGTGCGCTCATGACACTGGAGCCTCGTGCTGCTAACGTGACAGCAGAAACGGATGTGACTCTCATTGCACTCGATCGCCAAGCGTTCGATGATCAACTGGGAAGTCTCCGAGAAGTGATAGACCGCAACATGAGCATGCGAGTGCTGCAGTCCATTCCGATGCTGAAAATCCTCTCGACTTCAGAAAAAGAGAAGCTCTTCCTCGCACTGGAGCCAATTACGTTCACTGACGGGGAGTTCGTGATCAAGGAAGGTGACAACGGCACCGCATTTTACATTATCAAGAGCGGATCTGCACTCGTCGTGAAGTCGGTCTCCAACACTGACGATAACGGAGAAGTAACCACGGAAAAGAGGCAGGTGGCCACTTTATCCACCGGAAACTTCTTTGGTGAGATGTCGCTACTGCACGGTGAGCCACGACAAGCCGATGTTATCGCTAATGGCCATTTGGAGTGTCTTTCACTTGATCAAGGCAAATTTGTGGAGCTTCTAGGTCCCATTCAGGAGATCTTGAATCGCGAGGCTGAGGAACGCAGGAACGCCTTGAAAATGCAAGAGCAAAAGCAGATCAAACTGGATGACCTTGAAGTACTTCGCACACTGGGATCGGGTACATTTGGTCGCGTCAAGTTGGTACGACATAAAACCACAGGCGTAGCATACGCACTCAAAGTGCTCAACAAAGCGTCTGTTGTAGCCTACAAGCAGCAAAGGAACGTGGTGAACGAGAAGTCAGTGATGACACAATGCAATCACCCCTTCCTGCTCAAGTTGTACACGACGTACAAGGACGCAGCTCGACTTTACCTGTTGATTGAGTTTGTGCAAGGTGGAGAGTTGTTCACGTACTTGCACTCGACCCCGTCGTCTCCTGGTCGGATTCCAAACGACCACGCTCGATTCTACGCCAGTCACGTGCTTATGGCACTGGAGTATCTTCACGAACGCTGCATTGTTTATCGCGACTTGAAGCCCGAAAATCTGCTTATCGACCCGCTGGGATACCTTAAAGTCGTGGATTTCGGCTTCGCGAAGGTAGTAGATGACCGGACATACACTCTATGCGGTACAACCGAGTACCTCGCTCCTGAGTTGGTGCTGGGCAAAGGCCACAACCGTGGTGTCGACTACTGGGCGCTGGGAATCCTCATCTACGAAATGGTTGTGGGCCATTCGCCATTTGCAGGCTCCAGCCAAGTTGATCAGATGCAGATATGTCGAAATATCGTCAAAGAGAAGGTTGAATTCCCCAGTTACGTGAGTTCCTCTTGCCGCGACATCATCTCGAAGCTGCTGGAGCGAGATCCTACTAAGCGACTTGGTATGACGCACGGTGGTGCACGTGCCATCCGTTCGCACGCCTGGTTCGCGAAGCTGGACTGGGATGCCATGCTGCAGAAGAAAGTCAACGCCCCGTATAAACCCAAGCTCGCCGACGCTGCCGATGCCTCCAGATTCGAGAAAATCAAGGAGTCCGAAGAGGAAGCTCCAGTCTACAAGTCAGACGGTCACGAATGGGACAAAGACTTCTAGGTCCTCAGTAATAGTTGTATGAAAGTAATAGCATAATATAAACTGCAGCATGCAACACAATCAGTAAAAAAAAAGATGAAGCCATTAGTTCTTTTTCTTCTTGGAGCGAACCTTCTTCTTGGCCGATTTCTTGACAGACAGTGGGTTGGGACCCTTGGCTCGCTTCTTCTTTAGTCTCTGATGCTCTTCGCGGCTCTCTTCGCTCTCTCCTTCCTGCATCTGCTCCAGTTTCCTCTTCTCGTTCACATCTAGCTTGGCCATACTGGCCTTCTCCTCTTGGCGAACAATCGCCAGCGTTGCGCGTGAGATCTCCTCGAACACCAGCACCGAGCGGTTCAGGTAGATGAGCGGTACACCGGGTACCAAACGCAGCGCCTTGCGGAGCTCCACTTCCTGCGTGCAGACGACGAATTTGCGTTCGTTCTTCTCACCGATGATACTCTGGATGTACTTAGACACATCCACGGTCTCCTGTTTCTCGTCCTCTGATTGACCGTAGACTTCTGCCACTTTGAAGCTCTTGGCTAAGTCGTAGGCCTCTTTGGTGGCTTCTCCCAGCGTCTTTAGCTCGTCTAAGGCGGCACGAGGCACGTAGAACTCGCACTCGTGCGGCTTAACTTGTAGGTACTTAGGCACGCGCTCATGCACGTCCACCTTCATCTGCAAGCACATAGCGATGAAGTTGCCATCCAAAAGCACCTTGTAAGGTGGCTTGATGCCGCACAAGAAGTGGAATTGGCGCAGCGCCTTGCGGATTCCCTTGGCGCGCAGGTACCGCATTCTATCTCTTCACTGTCAATCCGATACTGACAGCAACTTGTGGCCAATGCGATGATGGGGAGAAATGATTGGCTGCAATTTGTAATTTCAGGTTACCTGATTGGATAAAACACCTCCGTAACGTTCGAGAAGGTGATCTTGAAGCGGCGCATATTGCTGGTAATGGCTCAACGCGGGAAGGATGACAATGAACTGGCGGTGAGCTCCGTGGTTGCGAGTGCAATGCAAGGAAGTAATAACGACGAGTCCAGGCAAAAATTACAGGAGACGCGGCTTTCATTGGCTCTGTGGGTGAGTTCTGATGACTACAAGCTGCTGCCGGGACATTTGAAGCTCGGCGTCGTGCATTTGCTGTCTGAGGCGTTCACTACGGCGGACTCACCGCATACCAGGTCTGATCGAACTATTAATGGGATAATGCTGTTGTTGGTGTTATATTTCTTACTTATTGCGGCGGTATATTTCTTGCAGCAACCAAACGATGGAGGATACGCTGGCGTTGATGAGTTATGGAACGCAATATTTGGCTTCACACACTATTGATAAGTGCACACTGGAGCGTCTAGATACCCATAAACGCCGACGAGTTGAAGAGCGACGGCGATTGGACGCGAAGGCAGCGAACCTAGTGCTCACATGGCGATGCCAGCGGTTCCCGACGCAAGGGATGCCGCCGCTGGGGCTCAAAACCAGTGACTACCTAATTCCCGAGGTGCAGGAACTTCAGAAATCTGGTAGGTCTGCTGTGTATGCTGCTACCGCGGTGAATGAAGACGCTTTACGTGCTGAAATCAAGAGGTATTCGAAAACTCTTCGACGACGAGTTGAGGTGCGTCAACAAGAACTCGTGCGCGACCTACAGCGTCAACTACGTGAGCAAATAGAGCTCAAAGAACGTAAGAAACTAGGATTTCGTAGAGGCTGGCCCCATCTAATGTAACATCGATACTTTCAAGAAATCATGCTACTTTTGCTGCTGTACCAAAATGTTTGCTACTTATGGTGTTTTCAAACACCAATCAGGACACCCCGTCTCTCGATCCACGTTTTCTGACCATTTGCAGTGGTTTTGTGGGACGGATGTCAGAACTCCAAGCATTTGATACTTCAGCCGACCCCCCACCAATCGCATCATCATGGACACCCCCGCCACGTCCGTCGACTCTGCTGCCAATGGCTCCAGCACCGATGCAGCAGCCAATGGAAACGAGAAGACGCAGCTGGATAAGCTGATGGAGACTGTGGACAAGAATCCGCTAGACTTTAACTCGTGGGTCAGCTTACTCGCATTAGTGCAGAGTGAGGTACGACGTGCTGTCGCTGCAGCCTGATGCAGCTAATATGAAGCTTAATAGAGTGTTGGTTGTGGTTTGTGACAGTCTGCAACGCCACGCGAGACGGTAGAGACCACGTACGACCGTTTCTTGGCCGAGTTCCCGCTCTGCTTCGGCTACTGGAACAAGGTGCGACGTTGCGATATCCTGAAGAGTGTCATTCTGTTGTTCATAACCCTTTATATGTGTGTAGTATGCCCAGTACGAGTATCGCCTTGGCAGCAGAACGAGAGAAGACGGATTGGGCACAGTAGCGACGCTGGGAGAAGCCAAGCAGAAGGCGTGTGAAGTCTACGAACAAGGCGTCGTAGCAGTCCGGTACAGCGTGGACATGTGGATGAAGTACTGCGAATTCCTCATCCACACGCTACACAGCCCCGTGGACGAAACGCGACCGTAAGTCATGGAGCTTGATTGTGTAACTTATCGCTGTTCTAACAGATATTCCGTGGTTATTAGAGTATTGGAGAGAGCTGTGGAGGCGTGTGGAGATGACCCACTGGCTGGTCCACTGTGGGAGCTCTACATTCAACTGGAGACGGTTAACGTAAGTTAGTACTCGTCTTGGATGGCTATTGATATTGTTTTAACGTTGAAACGATTTTATTTTGTTAGAACAACATGCCTCGCCTGAACCAAGTATTCAAGCGGATCATGTACAAGCCGCTACGTAATCTCGAGGAGTTTTGGGAGAAATACAACCAGTTTGTGCTAGCTCAACAGTTGAGCGCCCTAGCGACGCCTGAAGAGCAGAAGGCGCTTGCTAGCGACGGAGAAGAACTCATGGACGAGGGTTTAATGCGCGTTAAGATCGTGAATGCAGTGGAAGCTGTGAAGAACAAGACGATGGAGGATATCTATCGTCGCCAGGCTTTCGAAGCCGGTATCGACCGAAGTTACTATCACGTGACGCCAGTGACTGAAGCTGCTATGAAAAACTGGCACAGTTATCTGGACTTTGAAGAGGCTGCGGGAAATTACGAGCGCTGCCAGACTCTGTACGAACGCTGTCTGATTTCATGTGCGAATTACGAGGAGATCTGGCTCCGTTACGTGTCGTGGAACGAGAAGGTGCACGGGTTCAACGCAGCAGACGCCATATTCCAGCGAGCGGTAACGATCTTCCTCAAGTACCGCGCGTCCATCTACTTGGAGTACGCAGCTTTCTTGGAGGCTCACGACAAGCTGCAAAAGGCCCAAGATACGTACATGAAGGTATTATCTGACGTGGCCCCGAAGCTTGCAGAGGGCTTCTTGCACTACTGCAACTTCGAGCGGAGACGAGGTGATGTGGAGACGGCCAAGACGTGGTATGAACGAGGCATGGTAGCGGTAGATAATGAGGTCGAAGTGTACGCGTACATTTCCACCTCGTACGCCACGTTCCTTCACAAGATTGTTGGCGACGTAGCTGCGGCTCGTGCTGTGTTCGAGCGTGCAGTGCAGAAGCACAGCGATTCAGTGCTGCTTTGGCTGAATTTCATCAACTTTGAACTCGGTATGGGCGGCAAGAACGCAGATCTGGTGTCTCAGGTTGCGCGGGTCTACGAACTCGCGCTGGAAGATAGCAGCAATCTTTCGATGGACGAAAAGAACGACGTCTGGTTCCAGTATGTGGAATTTCTGGAGAATTACGGAGACAATATCGCTAAAGTGCGCGAAGCTCGCAGCAAGGAAATGGCTTGGAAGCTCAAGAACTCCCAGTCCCGTAACCGCACGATTAAGGTGCTGAGCTTTCAACCTGGCTGGGAGGGTGAGTCGAGTGGATACAACTCCAACGTGGACCCAGGAACGAAGCGACCTCGTTACACAGCTCCACAGACTCCGGTTGTTGCGACGCCCGTAGCAGCAGTGGCAGCAGCGACAGCAGCGACACCAGAAGTGGCAACGCCGACAGCTACGACGACGGCTGCAGCCTATTACGGCTATCAGGTAACATTTCCGCTTATCTTTTATTCCCCCAATTTTGCTTGTTTAATTGTGAATACGGACTGGGCTACAAGTGAGCTCCAAATGGAGCTCGAGCTCTGTCCGGATGACGTGACTGACCCCATGTCCAAGAAATCTGCTGCTAGTGCTGCACGTGTTGCGATGAGATGAGGACACAGAGAGACGTCGTTTGTCAGGGGCATTGCGTTTTGTTATTTTCTGTTGTAGACGAAACTTTTCATGTTGGGGGATATGGTGCCATCGCTGTGTGCTAATTTGTTCTGCTTTGATGATTTTTTTGTAGGGATATGGCGCTCAAGCCCAAGCTTACTCTCAAGCGGACCCTACGGCTGCTGCTGGTCAGGCCTACACACAAGCACAATACGCTAGCTACTACCAGCAGCAGTAGCGATGCGTAGTTGCAGACACACGTTAAGAATAACGATGTTTTAACATGGGTAGCACACGAGAACTTAAGAAAATAAAAGCAAACACAAAAAAACGTCTCGATGTTCCTTCGTCACTACCTACTTGCCGATCATATCTAGCGCCTGCTTGCTCTTGAGAGTTTGCACCTGTGAGAGGTGCACCAGTCGCAGCTTGGACAGTTCCTTCTGAATGCCTGACAACGCAGTGGGGTTCGAGAATCTGCACTCCGCATATCGCTGTTGCAAGACTTGGATCTCTCGGTATTGTTGCTGCATGAGGCGGTGAAGTTGGAAAGAGTGCTCCATCTTGATCTGCTCGGCCGATTTTGATCCACTTGCATTGCCGTTTTGAGGACGTTGCATCTGGTTCGGAGCAAGTCGCCCTCCTCCGGCAGCAAGCTGCGACTGCATAGTATTTGTCTGTTGTTGCTGGGTGGGCGTTGGGCGGGCAACAAGCGTCAACGCGTTGAACGGGACCTGGAATAGCGCCTCATGTTCATCAATGTAGACCGAGAAAAGCTCCTGCCCGTAGATCTGTGGAGCTGCAACAATGCGTCCTCTCTTGCCTGCCAGATTTCGTGCTCCACACGCGACCAGATCAGCAGTATTCTGCATCAAAAGTAATAAAAGATCAGCATTAGCTTCAGTAGTCCCGTCAGGAACAACACTCCAACTTACCCGGATGAGCACTGTCGTGCCTATAACAAAGTCCGATCTTTTCGGCACTTGTTGCTGCAGTTGTGCATTCTTCATCTGCTGTTGATGCAGTTGAATCTGCGCCGGCGTCATGTGTCCAGGCGTTGCCGATGCCGCAGAACTGGTCACTGTCGGTGTGGATAGCGTCGTGGACGGGATCACAGACGACACAGTCGACGCCGCTGCAAGTTTTGGGGCTGGTTTTACTGCTACTGGCTGGGCTCTGGGTAGCATGGCCTGCAACTGCAGCACCGCCGCCGGGTTGAACGTTGGAGGAGGCGGCGCGGGTCGCGAGACATACATATTGTTGGCTGCAGAGGGCTTAACGCTATTGCCGACAGTCGTGCGCTTCTTGCGGCTCAACACGGCCTCGTAGCCCTTGTACGCGACCTTGGCGCGTCGCTTAAGGCTGTATGTGCTGCAGAAGTATCAAATGTAGAAAGTTAAAGGCGCGAATTGTGTCACAACTTGTGGGTGAGGAGACCAGCACGTACCGCAACTTGGTGAGGTCCTCATTGGCGCGTACGACGTCGGCCACGTGGCCGAAGTACTGCGCCGCATTCTTGGGCTCTGCGGTGGTTGAGCGGCGCGTCACGAGGCCCTGCAGTTGGCGTTGTGTCGACGCAGAGGAAGTCGTTCCAGGCGAGGCCAACATCGACGACCGACTTTCAAAAAAGGCTCTGGTCGTTTTTTGTGTCGATCTATTTTTGCGTGGACTAAAATGCTAAATGGCTCAAATCGCAATCTTCCCTAGCTTTGAAGTGAGGGATCGCTTCGCTTCGTCACCTCTTTGTCGTCTTCTTAACGCCAGCTACAGATCAGAATGAGCGATGGCACCAAACTCATTGCTGTGATCGGAGACGAAGACACCGTCACGGGCTTCATCCTTGCGGGCGTCGGTCACCGAACAGCCGAGGGAACTAACTTTCTCGTCGTCAAACCTTGTGCGTTCGGCATGCTCGAAAGGGTTTTTAGCGTAGAGCAACGACTAACACGCGTGTTTTTATGGCGATTCTGCAGCTACGCCGATCTCCGCCATTGAAGCCAGCTTCCGATCGCTCTCGAGTCGTGACGATATCGCAATCATCCTCATCAACCAGCACGTACGACATCTAGACCACATTCTGAGTCTCAGTCTTATGTTCTTCTTACACACGTGTTGCTTTTACATTGTTGTTTTGGACAGGTGGCTGAGGAGATCCGTCACCTCCTCAACACATACGACAAGACTATCCCCACGGTGCTAGAGATCCCGAGCAAAG